ACACTGCTGTTAACATCTTTCCTTGGAATATATCACTGCACTACAACAATAGAGAAATCACCAACAGATGCCTCCTCGAGTACGTGCAAAGCACATCAACTCAGGTTTCTAAGACAATTTGTCTGCTTCAGAATGAGGTTTTTATTATGCTTCAAATGGCTACAAACTACACAGAGTACTGCCTTTTCATAGAAATACTATGCACTTGTTAAAGGAAAAAAAAAAATTAAAAAATGAACCACTACCAAAAAGGAATAAAACCCAACTTCACTGTAGATGAAAAGGGAGTGAGAGAGCAGCAGCTGCCACCCGCAGCCATCCTCAGGGTGCTGAGCCAGCACACACCATGAGCAAACTGCCTCTGAACTTCGGGCACTGCACAGAGGGCAGGCTTTTGTAAAAAAGAAGAACCACACCAAACCCCACCTTATTCACACTGTGACCCTTCTAACTCCTTCAAAACATCAGAGGACAAGAAATCCAGCCCTGAACACTAACTGTGATGGGCTCAGCACCTTCAAGAACCAGGCTCGTTGCTGTCCAGCTTTTAGAGACAGAACTACTGTCTTTTCCTCCCTTTATGCCTTTGACACCATTTTAATGCCATTCATATCTCTGACCTCTTTTTCCAGTCTTCCCTCTTCTGCTTCCAAAAGCTGCTCTGCTACTATCTCTTTTTTTTTTTTTTTTTTTGCTTGGAAGGAACATCTCTAGAGATCGAGTAATTTTTTTTTCTTCCTTTCTTCTGTAAGATTCGTATCATGAAAGACAATAAATCTTTCAACGCTTCCCTTTCTCTGAGCTGCTCACCTTTATATGTAGCATTACAGATCAGACATTATTCAGAATGGGAACAGTGGTTTACTCCACACCATGTGAATGTGTACAGGAGTACTCTACAAGCATATTTTTGCTGGATGATTAACATTATCTGAAGTTTCTTTGACCTTTGCAATGTATCCGGAAATATCACAGAAATAACGCTGAGAATTTAATACGATTTTTGTTCAATCAAAAAATGTATCCTCCCTTTCCTCCATTTATCTAAAAAGGGAAGAAAGAGTCCTCCTAATTTGATACAGAACTACAGGTCACACTTCCTGAGCCACAGGACTTCAAATCTAGAATGCACTACAATAAACTATTCAAAAACCACTTTTGGCCACTTAACTTGCAGAGCACAGTGTGCAACTTTGAGCACAATAAAGAGTTGATTCCACACATTCTCTGCTGTAACAAACCCCGTGCCTTCTTCAAGCATGGCTCCTGATAGCACTTGTAGGGAATGCAGAACATGCAGGCTTTTCCCTGCTGGGTGTGTTCCTGGATGGGTTATTATCAGTGTGTTCCAGGGGGGGAGGAACAGAAAGGAACAGCTTCCATCTGACAACCTTGGAGGGAGAAAATTGCTCTCATGTGGCTGATAACTCGAGGGGGTTTGAAACGTGGTGTTTGGTATTATACTGTACCATGTGATGTCAGCTATTTCTCTTCACATATATAAAAGCACACACATTAGAGGATATTTCCTTCTTTGGTTTACATAATCAGAACACCTCTTCCTTTCCTGGTAAGGAATCCCTTCTTTATTTTTCAGCTCCTCTGTTTTGGCCACAGCCACCTCATGACTTCACAGCCAGATCACCCCATGAAATCTGCTTTGGTGCCACTAGAACACAGTAGAGAAAAAAGCAGACTAAAAGGGAACAGCAACTAACAATTTCTCCTTCCAGTGACTCTTCCAGGACACAGGAGCTGCTGAGCTGGTTAATAATAAGCACTGAAACTCGTCCTGGGCAACCACCCCGTGGGCCTGCCTGGACAGGACACAGTTAGATAATTCATCAGAAGGCATCAAAATCACTCGTGCCTGCTGCAGCAACCCCAAGTGTGCCAAGTATCACCCTTCTCCTGCCAGAAACAACACCTTCCTTCTGTGCAAGTGTCCTGAGAGGTCACAAAAGGAACGATGGCATCTGGAATGTGCTGCCAACCGATGCAGGACAATTTCTTGTTTCAACCCACCACTGCTGCCAGGAGCGCCTCAAGGGGAGCTGCCACTGGTGAGCTCGACCATCCTCCTTGTGCCACTACTAAGGGCTGAACAGATTCTTCCAAAAGAGTCCTAGCAACAGTAAAGCTATCCTGTCAAAGACAGCTACATAACAGCAAATAAAAATGGTTGCAGCCAGCCCTGACAAGTAAATCTTCCGTGAAAATAAAGCGGAGATTCAGCCCCAGTTGATTTCCTGTGGGGTATTTCCTGTGGGGTTTTGTTTTGCTTTCTTCTGAACTTCCTTCAGGTTTTGACAGGAAGAGCCCTCTGCCTGGCCAGAGGACACACAGACAAGCAGTTTCCACATCCTCCCTCTCACCTGGATCAAATCCAGAACAGTTGCAGTGGAAGTAAATTCTCCTGTTGCCCCAGACATCCTGCAAGTCAGCGCTCTTGACAGGCACTAACCCAGGGCTTCCAAAACACACACAATAAAGACTAGGTCTGTCTACAAACATTCTCCACAAGAAGATGGAGAAGAGCCACAGTAGTTTTTCTGTCACCAGCAGTCAGAAAAAAAAAAAAAAAAAACAAAAGAAGGAATTTCCACTCTGTCTCTGCAGCATAAAACAGCAGATCACGTTCCACCTTTGCCCCCAACACTTTCAGACTACAGCAGCCTTTTTCCCAGCACAGTGTCTCCTTGGACCAATATCAACATAAAGCTTCCACCAGGAGACAGGGCTGAAGCTAAGCATGGCACCAGGGACCGAGGAAAACCACACTGCTCTTCTTGCTAACCAGCTCACTACAGCCACATGTTCTCCCTGATTTCTCTAACACAAAGCCTTCCAATTAAATTTGCTTTTTGACCTACAAATTAATCACAGGAGGCCTGTGCATACCCTCCTGCTTCCGCTTACTGGACAGCAGGGGTGAAATAGTGGCTGTTTGAACCTCTTTCTGATGCACCACAGGAGAGAAAAGCCATGTCCCTCAAGTTGCTCCTGTTGGCTTGGCTGTTTTGTGGGCCATCAGGAGGCCGATACAGGCTCTGTTCACACCCCCTGCCTCACTGTTCCCTACCAGTAATCGTAAGGCAAATCAAACCAGAATGCTACACATAAATGGGCATCTTCAGAGGAAAAGAATCCCAAACCATACACAGTCAACTGGCCCAGATGTTTTCATTTTAACACCAAAGCTTTCACGCCACTTCTTTTTTTTTTTCCCTCCTCGCCCCTTCGCCCCACCCCAGTTTACCAGCAGGAGCAGAAACAGCGGGGCTAAAAAGAAGCATGAACACATGCAGCACCATGACACAAAGCAACAGCCAGAGGAACCCCTAACTGCATGGTTCCAGCTGTTCCTCACATTGTATTTTGACTTTTATTTTTCTTTAACTGAGCTCAGTTTTCATTCAAAGTTTAGAATCAGTCACAGCCAGTTAAATTATCATCAGCCTTTATTTCTAGTCGAGTGACTAAATGCCTCTTCCCTCCTTCAACAGAGGGGAGCTTAAAAAAAAAATAGAATTTTCACAAGAAAGCTGCCAACACCCACTTCTCTTCCTGCACTCTTCCATCCTCACTGGGGTCTTTGTGCATGGGGGAGGTGGAAGGATAGAGCACAAGACAAAACCCACTTTAAAACCTTGCAAACAGCTCATCTGAGGGCTGCTGCATAAAGCAAAACGGAGCTCCAAGCAAAGGGGACTGGAATGTGGCAGTATCTGGAAGGAAAAAACCCCCTCCAGCTGCAGTGACAGTGGGAGCAGACTGGAACTCTGCTGCTCAGCACTCTCTGAGCAGGGTCTGGGATCCCTCAGACACACCAGGCTGCCTCTGGGGTGGGAAGCTTTTCTGTTAAGCTACTCTTAAAGGTTAGGAAATATAGACAAGAGTTGTGTGTGTTTGCAGGGACTGGGTGCCCTGTGTAAGGACAAGGCCTGATTCCAGTTCTCTTATCCCACAGCCAGGACCCAGGCTGTTAAGGAAGTTGACTGGCCTGTTTGATCACCTGTGACAGTCTGCACCATGAATCCTCTCTGTCAGACCCCAACAGGAGGTACTGGGGAACCACCACATCTCCACAGAAGTAGCCCCACATTTCCTCATTTATTTTATCACCAGATATTATCCCTGCATTTGTTACTATACAAAGAAGAAATTGCATGAGACACTTCCAGCTGTGATCATGTGGAGTAGGCTGAGACTCAGACTCGAGCTCTTGGATAACCTCCCCTCAGGGCAGGGGAGGCCAGTCAATCAGCTCAGGACTAGACCAGACTAGTCCCCAGTGCTTCAAAGGAAGGTGCAAGAAAGCTCAGGAGTAATAACTGCTGACTGTTTAATCCATCCATCTGTGGTTTCCCGTCTCTGCAGCTTTTGCCACTCTAAACTGAGGCAATGGTTTGAGCTCTCCAAACAATCTTTTCTGCACCAGTGACTTGTGCTGAGCTGCAGGTTTTTAAAGTAATTAAACTTTATAATTTATAATTTCTTGGTGATTATTTCCCCTTAAAAAGACGAGGTTGCAACAGGAAAAAAAAAAAAAAGGTCAAAGCTACTTTGAAGCAGTAAGTTAAGCAACTGTATGTAAAAGTAAAAGCTGTCACTTCACGAGAGAAAATACATGACTATAAACTTTACTGTGAGTCTCTTTGTGCAATTCAGTGGTTTGCTGTGACCCCACACCTCTCAGAAGGCAGGGTGGAAAACCTGATTTAAAGGGAAATTATGCCACAAATATTCTGCAGCAAGAAAGTCTGCACTGGGAGGGAGGCAGAAGAAGTGCATCCGAGGATCCCTGTGCTTGGCCTAAACAGGTTTTTAAGGCAGCAGTTCTGGGGCTGAGGGAGCTGATATGCAGCACCAGCACTGCTAAACACCTGTCTGTCAAATCACCTTTCAGCTCCAGAATCTTCCCTTTTTTTTTGGTGTTCCACAGCACAAGAAAGCGTGACAATGCAGGCTGTGGTGCACCCTGCACCCCCCCCGCTCACCTCCTTCAGTTCCTGTGCGACGGAATTAAGGCGTTCATTTTCAGACTGCGTGTTGGCAAGGACGTTTCTGATCTGCTTCAGTTCTGTCTGCAGCTCCATCACCTTCTTCATGTAGTATTCTTCTTTGGTAGCTGATTCCTGGATCAAGGTCTCCTCTCTGCTCTCTCCATCTGCTGCTACCTTCTTGTGGTTGGTGTGGGCCTGTCCAAAAGCCTAGAGGAGAGTCAGAGAGAACACATCTTTTATCAGTAAACCTAGAAGTTTGCATAAGTAACTTCGGTTTGAAAATAGTTGATAATATTTACCCTCATACATTTCTCTTTGATGCAAAGGAATGTGACCTTTTCCTACACTCTCCTCTTCTGGGGTCAGCCCTCCAAACGCTATCAAGTGGCCAACGCTGGGCTCGTGAAAACAAACCCCAGCACCTGAATTATCCATTACCCAAAATCCAAGGTACTTTGTGATGCACAGAACGCTCACACAGAACCTCTGTGGGATGGAACAACAACGTACTGACTGTTAAAACAAGACTGGTTTTCAACCAGATGACTGCAAGGCGACCAGGCACTGCTGCACACGCGCGTTCTCCGCGGCGGGGTCGGACTCGCTTCTGCAAAACCAGAATCCCTGCGGTATTAGCAGCCTGTTCCACGCTTACTCGCCCTGACACAGCTCCCTGCAGCTGCTCCTGGCTGGGGATTACAGCCCCCTCCCAGCCGGGGTCAGCAGGTTTGCTCCAGAAGCAGGCTAAGCCCGCGGGGTCAGGCTGGTTGAAGTAGGTCAGCGGACGCTGCCGCAGCCGGCTCCGCTCCCCGCTCCGGGACGTCATCCCCAGCAGAGGCACTCACAGCCAGGTCACGGGGCCAGCCCCTGCAGCACAGCCTGGCTCCGTCTAGACCTGGCATTTGCATTATTTCACCTCCTGCTGCTGCTTCTGTGGGGGTTTTCGTTTTGCAGGTGACGGTCCCCACACGGACACCCCAGGGGCTGTGGGAAGGAGCCTGCCCGTGGCTGTCCCTGGGAGATGTTGCAGAGCAGAGCTGACCACTTTCAGCAGTTTTATTTGCAACACCCTGCCCGGCAGATGGGCCAGAATCAATGGGATTACAGATGACATCTTTCAAGCGCTGCGCACGCGTTCGCCACAATCCGACCCAAGGCCTATCTGGAGCTTTCGGGTGCCACGGGATCTTTTGGGATGCCACTGTCCACGCGGCAAGTTTTCACAGCCAAAATTAATGTCAGGCCAGGTCATGGACAGAGCTGCATCTGAAACTCCTTGTCTAGTCATGCATTGATCATCTTTAGACAGCTCTCCAGAAAAAATACTGTCGTTGCAGGAAAAAAAAATGCTTTGAAGAGAAACAGATTCCAGTATTTTATTACTTCTGTATATGAGAGCAGGCATATTAATAACACAGAAACTACTGTCTATAGCAGGGCTGAAACTGCTGATCAAATATGCTAGCTCTGCCTGTGATTAAAGGCACCCAGATATTGCTCCTCTCAGACTAAATTTTATTTCAGATAAGCAAATATCCATTGAAGAAATTCTAGCCAGATTCACCAAGATGACCCAAGGGAAATAAAAAGCGACACATTTCAGACAGAAAGTAAAGCACCATCTGTGCAAGTCCTTGTCAAATGAGTTTCAACAAAGCAGCTTAAAAGCCTAATACCCAAGATCTCCATAAATGTTAAAGGGATAACAAAAATCATGCCAGCTTCTCAAATACACTATGGTTGTTTTTTTTTCCCATAACAAATTAAGATCCACTTTTTACGGAGCAGCACGGACGACAAATCTCTGGCACAGAGGAAGGGGCTCTGGGCACCTCTTTGCCCAGTGAAGTGGCATCTTTGCAGGATGCCAACAAGCACACTCAGCACACCCAGAGCCACAGCTGAGCAGCCAGACCACAGGGTCCAAGGCACGATTCCACAGGGGAGCTCAGGAATGCCACCCAGGGAAGGATTCCTGGCAATACTGACTCATTTGCTCTTCAAACTCCCCCATGCAGAGGCTGGGCCTCAGGTTCCTGCAACAGCTGAAGAAGAGAGTGTCATCATTTTGCCCGAGTCACAATCTGTATTTAAACACAGAGGCTGCCACAGCGGATGAGACCGGGCGCTTCCATAAATCCAATATCCTGTCTCCTACAGAGGCTAATGCCAGATGCTCCAGAGAAAGGTGCAAGAAACCACTTAATCTCCCAGAGTCGGGAACTGCCTTAAGCCTTGATGCGGAATGCTTAATGTAAATTTGGAAGAGCTATTAACACTGAGTTACCCGTGTAAAATATCCCTTTATTTCTCACAGGTTTGTGCATTTTTTGCTTCAATAAAACCTTGCAACAATAAATTCTGTATTTAAAAATCTTACTCTTACATGACAGGTTTTTGTCAGATCACCGGTTTTCATAAAAGAGAACGCATTTTTGTTGGGAGGCTTGAAGGTAAGTTGTTAATTCCACGGTCTGCTGTCAACAATTCACTGTTTTGGAGACTTCCATCCCAACAGACTATGTAGAACAGGAAACTTTTAACAAAATTGTGCAAAATTACAGGGCAACGCAATTACTTGCCATGGCTACAGCCCAGATCTGTTTTAAATCAAGCTATTAAAAGGAAAACTGACTTTTTACTGCTATGCATGAAACTCCTAAGCCTTCACACATCCCCAAGTCCAGCATCTACCCATCCACTTTTGCTTTAACGTTATCTAAAGCACAGACATAGAAGTCACTCTGCTCTTTGTCCTCTTCCAAAACTCCATTTCCCATCTACTAGGGAAGCAAACTGTTCACAGTTACATTGGAATGATACCCTTTAGAGTATTTATTCACAAAATAAAAGTTTCTGACCTGGGGGCTGCAAAGCACCACGTTCTGCTGAGCAGCTGCCTCGAGGAAATTATAGCAAGACACCAATATCAAGGGACTATCAAAGTTCCCATCTTCCAGATTCCTAAAGATCAGGGCAGAAGCAGTATCAAAGGTGCCATCCCCTACCAGCCACACCAGTCCATGGGGTCCTTCTCCTCTCCTCCCCCCAAAACCACTAGGGAATGCTGCCCAAAAGCCAATTATAACCCCCATGGGAAATCCACCACAATGAGCTGATAAAGGTTTACCAAAGCTAGTGTCATTGGCCAAGGTGCTATTAAAAAATCTTTTGTGTTTGCACCATTTCTTACATCAGCAGACTCCAAGCACGCAGAAGACCCTGTGCTATCACAGCCTAGAAAAATCTCACTGCTAAAAACCATAGCAGTTTCTACAAATTTCATCTTCAGTCAATGGGGTCTTAAAATAAATCTCAAGAATTCAAAACTCTCCATAATAATTACAAATGGAAAAAGGAATATGGATGGCAAGTGGATGAGGCAGACTCACCCAAAAACTGCAACGTTACAGAAAATGATCAAGCGCAGTTCACTTCAAATGAAACCCTGGATCAAACTGCATTTAAACTGCGTTTAAAGTACTGATTTTCAACAGACAGACCCAATAAAAGATGAAGGTTCCTCTAGGTTTGATGATTACACAGATTCATGTGTTTGTTTTGCAGGAGGAACACGATCTCAGTCATCTTACAGACACACAGATGGGGGTTTTTTTTGCAGGAAACCCACCCCACTGAAGGAGGCTTTCACACAGAACTCCAAGCTTTGAGAAGAACATTTTCCCAGTTCCATGAAGGTTTAGCACACTTGCTAAGGTATCAAGTTCTTCTTAACAAGATTGCTAAGATTTTAGACCCAACCTTTCGAAAGAAGCTCTTTGTCGCAGCGCAGCTGTTGGCTGACCACGAAATGTGAAGAATCTCTGAAACACAACTGCTTGGAGAGTTCCAAATGCTTCCCTCAGAACCCCAGAACATACAGGAGATGCAAAGGTTGGTCTCAGTCAGGCTCAAAAGCCAGACTAGGCCTCGGAGAAATTCAGAACAGTGCTGCCTTATTTGCCTTTTTCTTTGATCTGTCACTCTACCTCTACTTAGCCCAAAAATCATGAAATTCAACCAACCTATGCTGGTTATGCTTCCAAATTTGCTGAACTAGACTGCTAAACCCACAAAATAACACAAAATGCTTTTAATAATACCTTTTAATTATCATTATGTCTCATCAACATTAAACTAATCAGGATATGTTAATATGCACCAGAAGATTAATTAGCACTAAAAGTCAGTCGCATTTTTGTTCATGTTTCTGCACTGTCAATCTGAATTTAATTACAAAACTCCAGTACCAGTTCAGTTCCTAGTTCCTTCTGCTTATCTGATTCAAACCATGAGATGTTTTCCATGGCTTCTCCAAGCACTGCACATTTTCCATAATAACAGATTTGTCACGACCAAAAATGATCTAAAAAAAGTAATACCAATGTGCTCTGAAGAGATTGGTGCATCTTTACAGGGAGCAAGGAATTTAATACAGGAAAGTATATTCCCCTTGTGCGTTGCACTCATATATTTTCCTTTTAAATTTTCCTGTAAAGTGCATTCTTCATTGCATTCTTCAGTTAACAGAGCAGCGCTGTGACTAAACAGTTTCTCAGCAAAGTCCTTAAATGAACACATCAGGCTTGGACTGCAGTGAGACACAGGCATTGTCATGTGCTCCCCTAAACATCCTAACCCTCTGAGCATGACCTAACCCTTGTCTCCCACTGACTCAGGCCTCCTTGGCTCCCTTCAGCTGGGTGCCAGGGCTGCTGACAGCATCAGTGTGGTGGGGGCTGGAGGGGCACCAACCAGAGCTCATCCCTCCTTTCCTGACAGCTGAAGTCCTGGACACCAGCAAGGCCTCTGAGCAGAGTCACAAACTGCTCTCTCAACTTTTCACTGAAGAGCTGCCTCATCTCACTCACCTCCCTGCTGCCAAACCCTCCTCAGCAGCACTGGGGAAGCTGCAGCACAGACACAACAGGCATTTTTGTGCCATGATGCGTCGCCAGGGCAAAGAGCTGATGCTTTTAAGAGACCGACATTTGAGAGGAAAAAGAAAATAAAACCTCCCAAAAGCAAGCAAGAGGGTTTTGATACTGCAGTAGAAGGTTCAGATGGTTTCAGAGTGTTGTGTTGCTGGAATTAATAGCAGGCTCCTGTGTGTTCTCTCAGAGATCTGAGGGCAGCCTGGCAGAGGAGGAATTGGCTGTAGAGTTCCCTTGTGCCAAGCCACCAGCCATCCAAACCAGCAGGGATGC